TATTTCCGGGACATAAATAGCTACCTTCGATGATAAGATCGAGATAAACAAGACCACATTTATCAATAGCTATGGTGTCCTTAGATCAATGTTACCGAGTACCGGGAACATCTGAGTCTGCCATTTCTACATGAATTAAGCGTGACGAACCTTAAACTCAAGCGGCAGACTGCATTGGTGGCAAACGTACGGAAGCCCGAGGACGCCCTTCACTTAGCTGAGGGAGGAGTTATCACCAGCTAGTCCGATTGGGCGACCGGATGCCGTCGCAACAATGTTGCGACACTTGCGGCCGGTCAACGGCCAGCGCTTAGAAATATGATCCGGGACCAGCGCGTGCTGAGCGGCTGCTAAAGAACGGCACGAGGCGCAGAGTCAGCGATCTGCCCATGCCGCTGCCGGAACGTTGCGGCTTCATTATAACTTAAGATATAATTGTAAAGTCAGTTTTCTCATACCCACGAAACTATCCAGACGGATTGTCTAATAAATAATAATAGCTAAACAGTTTTATTCTAATTTATACACCAAATGTAGCTCGCGCTACGCAATCGATTGTAATAAGGATAAATTAAAAAAAATCGATCTTGATGACATTTTCAGTAGTAGATCTTATTGTACTATAAAATAATCGTGTATTCTCAAAATGACAATTGCATTTAAATTGTGGCTTAATTAGATAGGCAATACAAGTTGGTTTACTAACATGATTTATAGCATTGTGGTGGTAGCGGGGAAGTGGCGATAGCTATAAAATGAAAGATAATTGATATATTTATACTATTCTGGAAGCTAGTTGTCAAGTTAGGTGCCTCTAGCCCGTATTATTTACCAAAATAGCTCAAAAGAGGATTTCGATATTGATTCTTATCGATTACTTGGAAACTGGGCAAGCTATCGATTATATGAAACAAACTCGATCTGCGCATGGACTAGGAGCACCCACAGGTAACCACTAGCTTCTGATATCCTTACGTTCATACATACGGACGGACGGACATGGCTAAATCGACTCGGCTGTTGATGCTGATCAAGAATATATATACTTTATGGGGTCGGAGATGCTTCCTTCTGCCTGTTACATACATTTGCACAACAACATTATACCCCTTTTATTAAAAGTTAATATTAATTAATGAAATATTTATAATTCAGTTGTAAAGTTACCTTTTATATCGGCATGCCTAACATTCACCCTGGCCGCCATTAAAACAGTTTTTTTTTCGCTGCTGGTCCGTTCATTATATTCTTTTTCTAATATGAATAAAAATATTTTAATTAAAGGTAATAGAATCATTATATATCCAAAAATACTTTTGAAATTTGAGTCATAAAATGTTAATGATTATTTTTAATCAAATTATTTTTATATATATTATAATTTTTATTTTTGTTTTACTGTCAATTTTTAATTTATTATGATATATTGTTAAGTCAAGGTAACGATAAAAACGGAAACTGTTAATATTTTCCTAATAAAAATGGAGCATTGGCACTATAACTAATTTATTCTCAAAGGGAAATGCTACAGCTTTACTCTCTAAATCAGTTAGTGAAAACACCTCCTCTTCGCTATCGTCTGATTCAATAATATACATAAATACCTAAATTTGTTGAGCTGAATGGTTCCTGATAAAGGCTTTGTCTTTTTTAAACTTTCTGCCAATTATCAAATCATCTGTTATATTTTTTATAAGAACTGGAGGGTTGTTTTTCATGTAACAATAATTGTCAGGAAGTTTTCTGCTTAAAGTACACCCTTTAAAATAGCATACATTATTGAAAACTTTTAACTTACAAACTAATAACCTTATAATTAAAAACGTGTATACCTAAACAACTTAAATTATATATTAAATTATTTTACATTTATTTTAAATTCTTTTTTTTTGCGGTTTCAAAGCTTTTCTGAGCTGGTGTTTTGGAGACCAGACCAGCACCAGCTCTCTTTGCAATGCTTTTAAATTTACATGATGTGTTCCTGTGATGAATCTTAGCTAGATTACAAACTTCACATTCGTTAATTATGGTTTGGATTAAATTTTGATAGTCTGAGTAATAGTATGTTTCTTTAAAAAGTCTGACCATCTTTTCGATACCTGAATGTAAAAGTTTCTTCTGGTTGCTTACTAATATTTCTTTAAATTCTGTCTTTTACTTTAATATTTGTTCGTAATATTCGAGTTGTTTTGGGGTTCATTATTTCTTTAAAGGCTTGTTGTAATATTTCAAAACCTGAGTCGTTTTCTATGTATAATACACTTGAATTGTTGCAAAAATGTTTTATCAATATCTGTTTAGCTTTTTGAATGTTTAGGTTTAAATATTCTATTTTTATTTTAATTTTTTTTTAAATATGATTCAACTTCTATATTTTCGGTATCACTTCTAATCATTTTTATTTGTCTTCTAAAATAGTTTAATGGATTTTCTGTTAAATGTATTATTTTTCATTATCTTCTTCAGCGCTATGTGCTGTAGCTTGTGTTTTAATATCTTGTTCGCCTAGTATATTTTCTTCAATTTTGATGCGTGATAAAGCATCTGCTACGTGGCTTAATTTTTCTTCTAAGTATTTGATTGAGAAATTATATTCACTAAGTTTAATACGCCAACGTTGTAATTTCATGTTGGGTTCTTTAATGTTGTTTAGCCAAACGAGTGGCTTATGATCGCTTAAAATGTCAAATGGTCTGCCATATAAATATGGGCGAAAATATTTTACTGCCCACACTATTGCTAAAAGCTCTATTTCTATTGTACTGTAATTTTGTTCATGATCGTTTAACGTTCTACTTGAGAAACTAATTGGCTTGTTATCTTGTGACAACACAGCTCCTATTGCAAAATTACTTGCGCCGGTTGTTACCTGAAACTTTTTATTAAAGTCTGGACATACTAATATTGGGTCGTTCATAATTAATATTTTTAATTTTTCAAAAGCTTTATTGTATTCAACATTTTTAATATCAATTTTTGCCGCTTTCTGTAGGTAAAGAGTCATGGGTTTTGCATAAACCTAGAAATGATTTAAATGAAAATTTGTCAATATCATAAATTACGACGTCACATTTCATTAAATTTTATTTTTTGTGCTGTTTAGTACATATTTCTACCTTTATTACGTACATTAAATTAATTTATTATTATTTATAACACTTTTTTTGAAAATCTACCTTGTGCAACGATCACACACAAAAAGCCTTAAGCTGTTGAGTCATATGCTGAACAAAATGTTCACAGAGAAAAAAAAATGCAACGCGAAATTAAATACGATCATATTTAATTTTAAAATGCCCTATTTTAAATATTTTCATATTAAATTTTAATACAAACCCCTGTAATTTAAAGAAAAACATACTAAAATGGCATATTCAATATGATTAGAACTTAAATATTTAATATAATATAAATATTTAGTTGCATTAATCTCTATATATAAAACTGTTTGTCCTGACTGACTGACTGACTGATTGGTGATCAACGCACAGCCCAAACCGTAAGAACTAGGAAGCTGAAAATTTCACTGTAGCTACCTTATGTGATGTAGGTGCACGTTAAGACGGGGTTTCGGGAAATTCCACCCGCAAGTGTGGAAAAATCGCGAAAAACGTTTGTATGTAACTTTTATGTTTACCATCGGATCGGCCTCAAACTTATTTTCAAAGATCTTTGTTCAAATTCATTTGAGGGGTGTTTCACACTTTTAGGAAAATCCATTCCTCCTTGGTGGAAATGGAAGTCAAAGATTTGGTGGGTGACGTTTCGCGCTCAAATTCATTTCCAGAGATCTATAAGAAAAATCCTTTGAGACGTGTTTCACACTTTTCGCAGAATTCAAACTTCTTCGGGAGGAATGCGATTTAAAGATTTTTTGGGAGAAGTTTTAAGTTGCGTCCGATTTGCTTCAAACTTATTTTCAAAGCTCTACATAAGAACTTAATAAATACGTATTTCAGCGATTTGGGAAATTCCACCCGTAACAGTGGTAACTTGGCGGAAAACGGTTGTATGAAAGTTTTTTGTTTACGATCGGATCGGACCCAAACTTATTTTCAAAGATCTTTGTTCAAATTCATTTGAGGGGTGTTTCACACTTTTCGAAAATCCATTCCTCCTTGGTGGAAATGGAGGTCAAAGATTTGGTGGATGACGTTTTGTGTTCAAATTCGTTTCCAAAGATCTTAAGAAAAATCATTTGAGACGTGTTCACAGAATCAAACTTTTTCGGGTGGAATGCGACTCAAAGATTTTTTGTGCGAAGTTTTAAGTTGTGTCCGATTTGCTTTAAACTTATTTTCAAAGCTCTACATAAGAATATAATGAATACGTGTTTCAGCGATTTGGGAAATTCCACTCGCAACAGTGGTAAATTGTCGGAAAACGTTTCTATGAAAATTGTTTGTTTACCGTCCGATAAGTTACAAAATCATTTTCAAAGCTTTTTGAGAACGTTGATTTTTAACATACGTTCCACGGGCAAGGCCGGGTTATACCCGCTAGTTTTATATAAAATTGTAGTATGTATTCTATTTTAAGCTAAAATGGTTCATTATCGATCCAAATACAGAAAAAAAACTGAGGGCAAACGTGGTTTTGTATTTAAATTTAATATTAATAATTCATAATTTAAAGAATAAGCATTTTTAAAATGAAGTTTTTTACACTTCATCTAAATATAAAAATTGTATATTAAATAAATATAATTTTCATATTTAAACGAAGTATAGAAAATAGTTAAATTAAAGTTTTTTATATTTAACTTTAATATTATATATGACGAATTCTGACGTTGGACAATTTTAAGTTAAAAATAGTTACACAGTACCTTAATTTAAATGAAAAATGTTACATCCATAATGTCAAATCTACTTTTTATAAGTTATCTACTTTTTGCATACGCGCGCTTGCCGTTTTTATAACGGTAATCGGTTCTTTTTATTCATTGTGCCCAAAATCGACGCGACGCCGTGGCGATCAATTATTCAAAATTGAAGCGCACTTGAGAGTGGACGTAGTGAAACAAAAAATGTTGTAAAAAGTGATAAAAAAAATTTAAAAAGTGCAATTATAATATAATTTTCTTGGAGCGGTGCTTAGAAATTGCAGGTATGTACAAGTGGTATTATTTTATACAACAATGTATGTACATACAAATGTACATATGTATGTATATTAAAGAAACGAATTTCGAAAGTGTGCAGGGGAAAGAAGCAGAACAGCGGCTGGTCACAGCTTATAGTGAGTGTATAGACACATTTATGTATGTATTATATTGTATGTACATATATTTCATATGTTTTGTTTTTTGAAAAAATTCATATACACACAGATGGATATTTATATACACACAGATATGGCAAGTGAGGACGACGAAAAATTAAAAAGTACACAGATAGTCGTGCTGTCGATTTGGTTGGTACAATTAGACTTTAGACTTTAACCACACATATGTATATTATTTACCATGATAGATTTATATTTATGATTTAATTCTTACATTTCAGATAAAACTCGATTTTAAAATTTTGTACCCGGGTAAAGAATGTATGTTGTTTGGAAAATGGGAAGCAATATTCACAATGCCAATTGTAAAAAAAATTTGAAAGAATTGTAACTTGCAGAATCAAACGGTATTTTTTACTTAATAAGCTACTATCAAATCTAATCAACTAACTTTTAAATAAATAAAATATATACTCATGAAATAAATATTTTCCTTTATTAATTATTTATATTTTCTTTGACTACAGATTCGTCCGATTATATTTTAACTTGCCTGTTGCCATCTGTTATACATCCAAACGGCTGGTACACAGAAAAAAAACATTTAAATTGTTTAAATTGCGCTTCTTTTTCTATCAAGATGAAACAGTTTATGTTAGTTGCAGTTATATTTATGTAAATAAGTTTTGTACACACATACAAGCTTATGGGGTGGAAAAAGAGATCCAAAAATAGTTTTTAAAGAAATAACGAATTTTAACAGCCACCCGATGCATTTGTATATAATGAATAATCAAAACAGTTGTTTAATATAAATCACTTTAATTACTACCACTTAAAATGGATTAGTAGAAAAACAAATATATATTTCCATTAAAACTATAAGCAAATATTATATTATTTAATAATTAAGATAATAATTATAATATTTAATTTTAAGTAAAGATTATCAATTCAAGAATAAAAATATTTTTTTTCAATATCATTTATTTTTTATTTAAATTGGACAATATTAAAATTAAAAGGGGGAACATATTCATTTTATTATGAAACTTTATTGATTTGAAAAGCGATAATAATTAATTTAAAGTGGATAATTTTGAATTTAGAATGGGAACATTTAATTTTAAATATGAAAGCTATTGATTTTAAAATGTATAATATTGTAAATAAATATGAATACATTTACTTTTAAATTTAACCATATTTATTTTTAAATCGATTTGTACTTAAGTACAATATAAAAAAAATTATAATATAAATATGATTGCTATTTAAAGTAACATGCCTTTAAATTTAAATGAAATATTATGCATTTACATTTAACTATGGAACTTTTTTATTTAAATATCATACATATAAAAAAAAAGTTAAATATATTTGAATTTAATATGAATTGTATTCATATTTAATATTTTTCTACCTTAATATTAAAAATAAATTTTAATATGACAATATTTAGGTTTAATAAAACACCTCTTGGCCGAAAACCATAGGCAAAAATACAAAATTCTTGTTTATTTTACAAAAGTGCAACCGCGTACGAGCGTAAGAGAGTAAGCTTTAGCTAAGCTCATTGAGTAATAAATATACAGAGGAGGCTTTTGGATCAAAAGCTCTTTTTCAAAAAATTTGAAGCAAGATACCGAGCTGTTTTTACTCTAGTAATAATAAAGATCAATTAAAAAAATACAGTGGCCTTGGCAGTGTTCGAACTCGCAATAGACCGCACTACTTGCCGCTGCCTCTGCTCAATAGCCACACCAAAAATTGAGTTTTAATGAGAAAAAAACGAATTAAAATTGCAGCACAGAAAACAATACAAACGCAATTGCAATTCTGTTGATAGACTTCATAGCAAACGCTCATGAATGTGTGTAAATTATACATGTATACAGAAATTCTTGGAATTTGCACTTGCTTGCGCTGATGCGAAGAAAGCCAAAACACGTTTTCTTTAATCATTCCTGTGTTTCTTAATCGATCTTGATGAAATTTTCTACCGTATCTACATCTAATTGTACTATAGAATATTCGTGTACTATCAAACAGTCAATTGCATTTACATTGTGGCTTATTTTGTTGGGCAGCACAAATTGGTTTATTTACTTGATAGCTATGAGGTAGTAGCGTCAGGTGGTGATAGCTATAAAATGAAAGATGCTTGATATATGTATAGCTACATACATAGCTACATGTTAAGTTTGGTGACTCTAGCTCTTATTATTTACCAGAATTACAAAACAGGCAAGCATTTTTTACTGTGCACCCATTTTGCGTCCGATTTTGGTAACAAACATCGATCCAAATCTTCCTGTATAAACCAGTTATTTTCCTACAAAAATCAGTCCGTTTTGTAATAAAAACATAACAGTAATTTTATTAAATTATTTAAATTAAAAAAGGGACATTTTCCTGACACAAAAGTATTGGCACACTTAGTTTTTTACTCGATTTATTTAAATGCTTTTACCCATCTGGCAACGCTATTAGGAAGAACATGTGTTCCAACCTACCGTTATTTGAAATCATAGATATTTTTCGTAAACAATAAAAATAAGTCAAATATGAGTCCAAAACAAAAAGAAACCACTGAATCTTAACGCAAAATAATTTTATATTTACATAAGCAAGGTTAATCTATATCCTCGAAATCTTGCTTCAAAATTTCAGCGATCAAAACCGACGACGAAAAAAATGGGGTTTCATGCGCACTGTTGTTGTTTTGCCGCTGATTTATTGTTGCTTCCTATGGTAAATGAGCTTTATTTCTGAATATATACCCTCAACCCATTAAAAATGGGTAAAAAGGGTATAATGTATTTCTGCAAATGTATGTAACAGGCAGAAGGAAGCATCGCTGACCCCATAAGGTAAATATATTCTTGATCAGCATCAATAGCCGAGTCGATCTAGCCATGTCCGTCTGTCTGTCTATCCGTCCGTCCGTCCGTATATATGAACGCAAGGATCTCAGAACCTACATATAAGAGCTAGAGTCTTGAAATAGCTGTAGGTTCTCCTAGTCCCCGCGCAGATCGAGTTTGTTTCCGATAGTCAATAACTTGCCCCGTTTCCAAGTAATCGATATTGAAATCCTGTTTTTTGAGCAATTTTGGTAAATAATAAGAGCTAGAGTCACTAAACTTGACATGTAGCTTCTAGAATAGTATATATGTATATATATCAAGTATTTTCATTTTGTATAAAACACCAAATATTGTATAACAAATATGGGTAAACTCACCAATTTTGCAGTTGCATATACTATAACCGACAGGAACTGGGGAACTAAAATGCAATTCATGATAAAACATTTTTGCAAAATTTAACAAACCTCAAAAAATAATCATGGACACATTTTGTAAATAAAGACCAAATTCAAGTGAAAAGCTAAATTTCGGGTATGTGACAGTGATCTCAGATATTGGAAGGTGACTTTAAACTTTAATTGAAATGATAACTTTAATTGAGAAAAATGACTCATCAATTGAATCAACAATACAAGTAACATTGGGGGTTTCAATAACCGTAACCATTCGACAACAAAATGCTTATGCTTATGCAAAAACTACGGAAGACGAAAGGGAAAAAGACACTATCATAGAAGACGATAACGAACAAAGAAAGGAAGGACTAATCAAAAATTACAGACAAGTCACGCACAAAGATGAACCGTATTTTACCTTTTCAAACGTAGAAAATGTTCATCCTGTCGATAAATAAAGTTTAATAAATATTTAATTTGAAACTTATAACAACGCATCCAGTAACGGACTAATTGTATCAGTAATTTGTATGGAAACTGAACTGCAATTCAAAGAAAACGGTACACAAAAAAGTACGGTTAATCGCGTATTAAATTGTGCAACAACCAATTCACAAAAGTAAACGATAAAAGTTTACGTAAAATAAAATAAATAATAATGAGGGGAGGCATCCCAATCAACGCACAGAAAAAGGATGGAGTAGATAAAAAGACGTAAGTTCTGTTTCCTAGTTTATTCGCCAGATAACAAGATTGACAAAGCTTCTGCTTTTAGCAGCTGTATTCAGATACCCATTCATCGATAAGTATTATGACATGGTTGCACTGATAGAGATAATATATCAATACCCTTCTTCAATGCAAGCATGTTTGCATGTCTATTTTAAACCTAAACTTTTAATAAGTTAATCATGCTTCTGCTTTGCCAGATTTTTGGTCAAAACATCAGCTATCATTAAATCTGTTGACACATATTTCAGGTTAATGTGTCCTTCCTTAACAATATCCCGTACAATATGATATCTTATATCTATGTATATGTTTTGTTCTCCCATGATGAACAGGATTTCTAGCGTGTTGTTGTGCACCAAAATTGTCGCAACATATAGAAGTTGGCATGCTAATTATTTGATTTCTCAAATGAAGATGTTGATGTTGTAGATTCAGATCCTCGTCGCAGGCAGATATCAATTTTGCCTGTAAAGATGTTGACGCTGGAACTCAGATCTTCGCCACAGGTGCTGGGATTGGTAAGGTAATCTTTTTTGTAGATTATATTGGGAAAGCAACTGGCGTTCCAAATCACAGGCCTTGTCGCTCAGCAATAAAACAATTATAATAATGTGTTGATGACAGCAAGTGCCGGAGCAGTATACTTGAAGAAGTTATTCTTGCAAAGTTGGATGCAAAACTGACTTAACTAGAAGAATGAATATGAAACTAAAGCTAAAGACATAAATGGAATTTGCTTGGGCATTCCCCGGGTTCGTGGACAATAAGCCGAATCAGCATAATCATAGTGAGCGTGCAGCGTGCAGCGTTGCGACAGAAGCCAACGTCTGGCTTTTGATCCCCAACGATCGTTCTCAGAACGTTGAATGGGTAATCTGACTCGTCAGTATTTCGTTCGCACGGGTTGCATGATAAGTTCGTGCGAGGGTAACTTGTTAACTGACCTTCAAGATCATTGCTGTCCTCGGTGATGCTAAACACGTTGATGAATTTTCGTAGCTTGATTGACGAGCTTCTCCGGCTCCAGCATTGATACACGAGGATGAGCCCGCAAAATATGAGGCTGACTGCCACTCCAACTGTGAACCAAAGTTTGGGAGACCGGCCGGATGTATCTTCGTTCCTGAGCTCCTGGATGACATGTAGGTTGTGCTCATTCATCCGATGCAGCAGGGGGAGACTTAGCACATAATTGTGTCCTGTGATTTTCAGCAGAGGTGAAGCTGCAATGCCTGGGACCACAAATTCAGAAGTGCAAACGAGCGACAAGTGCGATTCACATGCTTTCATTGACTGTTCAAATTTACGCACCCATTGCTGAAAGTATCTCAGTCTCACGACAATCCCTTGATCGGCTCGTTGGCACACATTTGAGGGTATGTGTGTGTGTGTAGAGCTCGAAATTCAGAAATGCCAAAAACTGATTCTTCTCATTATGCCTGACTGGACGAAGAAATACACGATAGAGTATTTGAATGTGTGTGCCTTTTGCTACCACAGGCAGAAAAGGCATACAATTGAAGAAAAAATCTCTGGCTCGCGGACAAACGCCGTGATCTACTTGTGCGCACATCCACACAACACCAACATATGTATGTTCGTAGGTCTCAAGGTTTTTTGAGAAGCTAGGCAGAGAGAAAGAGATGCACACGAGTGCGCAAAGCAATGAGTGAGAGCGATAAAATATTTAGTGCTGTTTATTATAGCTATGCGATCGAATGTGACGAGGTGAGCCCCTTTTGTTGTTTTCATGGGCCCGTCATCTACGCTGACTCTAGCGAAATGTTCGTTGACAATGATTATCCCCTCATCCAATAGCGGGATCAGCTCCAGGTGACTAGGTTGCGTATGGCATACAGCTGATCCGCCTGCATGTATTCCGCGAGGTTTCATATGTTGACTGTTTGCAGAACGTCGCATAGTTAGTTGTAGTTTACTCTTTGACAGCTAAGATTCCATCGTCGCATTCCGCCACTACGTTTTCATGCCTTTGCTGTATTATGTTGTTGTATACCACGGGAAATATTATGACCTTCTTACAAATAACCTTAACCTGAGGAACGTCAATTAATATGTGAACAATGCGATTGGATTAAAATACTCTAATATTAAATACTACCATTAAACTAACTATAGGGACCTCTGTGAGCTGTTCGGCAAAAATAGACTTAAAATCATTGTTATCAAAAATTAAGGGATTTATTATATTGGATTTGGCGAGTATGATAGTGAGCATTAGGTTTTGTATTTCTGTAATTAATATTCTGTTCACCCCTTTTTTCTTGAAGTATTTTATTAACTATTGCGGTGATTCGCACATTCGCTGCGGATAGAATTATAAAAAATATTCCGATAAACCTGCGGGAACAATTAAGCTAGATCTGTAGTAATTGTATGATTGAGTTTGGTGGGTGTGATAAATTTGCAATTACCTCAGATTGTCTTTATGGACAACCCTCCCCTTAATGAGCACAGACGTTCCTAGGTCTGCTTGTATGTTCCCTTTACAACATAACGGGGATAACTTATTTCCCAATCTTTTGGGGGGGTGCCCCGGCATCCAGGTCTTTCTTATCAACAACCCACGCTGGGCTGTTGTATGCAGATATTAATGGTCTTATGATGCCACCTTTAAGTAACTACGAAATTTCATTATTAACGAAATCTGCCATACCTGTAGGGCACGGGTACAGCGTGAATATACCGGATCATTATCTTCGGTACAAATTGTGCCAATAACTGAGGTGTTAAAGGGGAGTGCCTCGTTAGAGGTCATAAATGCTTTTATCCTCTTCAGTATCATTTTTTTGAATTCGCCCCTTACGATATCAGGGACTACCATCTCATCGACTCGTGTAAAGTTCACGTTGTCGCAGGAGTGGTGTCTCAATGTTTCAGACTTGTTCCCTTAAGTGATGTATCGCTTAGATTCAAAGTAACCCCTATAATAGCATCAAAGGTGTCGAGGGTGTCTAAACTGAAAAACGGGGCAAAAAGGGAATTATGTATTTGTGCAAACGTATGTAACAGGCAGAAGGAAGCATCTCCGACCCCATAAAGTATATATATTCTTGATCAGCATCAATAGCCGAGTCGATTTAGCTATGTCCGTCTGTCTGTCCGTCCGTCCGTATGTATAAACGCAAGGATCTCAGAACCTATAAGAGCTAGAGACTTGAAATTTTAGCTGTAGGTTCTCCTAGTGCCCGCGCAGAGGTTGTTTTCGATATTCGATAACTTGCCCCGTTTCCAAAAAATCCATACAAATCGTTATCAAAATCATGTTTTTTGAGAAAATTTGGTAAATAATTAGAGCTAGAGTCACCAAACTTGACATGTAGCTTCTAGAATGGTATATATATATATGTATATATCATTCATTTTATAGCTACCACCACCTCCCCGCTTCTACCTTATAGCTGTAAATCAAGTAAAAACACCAATTTATGCTGCCCACCAATATAAGCCACAATTTAAATGCAATTGACTTTTTGATAATACACAAATATTCTATAGTACAATAAGATGTAGACAATTTCATCAATATCAGTTAAGAAACACAGAAGTTATTAAATAAAGGGGGGGGGGGGGGGTGATTCTCCACGATTGCGTGAGGGTTTTATTTTATTCTTTTCACTTTTTAATCGAAAGACCATTTTTACGTTTGATACGCTCCACTCTTTTATTTTGACTGGCTTAAATACAAAATTTTTCTTAAGCTACATAAAATGAGCTTGGAAGTAGCCACAAAACTACAGGGTAGCGGTCATTGTGAAATGCAGCATATTTTGCGGCATATACTATTATATATTATTATATATTGCAGTACTTTTGCAATTGGAGGCCCTTGGAAGGGAGGGGGGTCAGGTGTCATGCCTGGTGTCACTGGCTGCTGGTTCCGGAGAGGACCCAACCGAACATGGTGTTTTGCGCCACCAGACCCGGGCGGATTATTTGCGGATAATGGTCCGCATCTGAAGTTGATTCTCCGTCTGGAGAATCGTTTCCATGGTCGAGCCTTCGGACAACTTTGCGCTGATGAAGGCGGTACAAGCACATTTTACACCGATGCGAGTGACGGAAGGGCCGTTGCCAAAGATGCATCCATGCGACTCGTTGGACTGCACGGATTGATAAGCGCTCGAGTCTCGAAGGTTTTCGTCCCATTTCCTAGGAACATCAATGCAGTAGGCAGTACACTGAACCTCCTGCGCTGGAGGAGAGACGACAGCGTTGTACCTGGTGCTGTAGAATCGGATCGCGGCGCCCGTGATGGGGGTGCGTTGAAAGGGGCGTGCTTCCTTCTGGGACTTCTGCACCTTGCCATTCGGGGCACTGGGTGACTACCTCGCTTCTTCTCCTCTCCCTTGATGTGCAGCAAACTGCGGTGGTCATTACCACAGGACCGGCAGCGATCATTGCTGCGGCAAGATGTCTGTGATTGCTCATGGCCAGGCAGTTGGGGCAGTACTTGTTTATCAGTACTGCCCGGAGACGCTTCTCAAGGCTCAAGCTCATGAAGCGTTGGCACTTCCTCAGTGCATGCACTCCCCGGCATACCCGGCATCTGTACGACCCCACTCCACGGGGCGGTTGGCTGGTGTTGTCTGGGCGTGGAGCCATGTCGCTGGAAAAACAAGATGCCTTTTCTTTCTAAATTTAATTTTGTAGACACAGAGCACAACACAGGTGTTAGTTGGAAGGTTTGTATCTACGGAATCGTGGCATTGGAATCGATTGGAAGGTGGATGATCCTTGCATAGATGCGTGGCTTGGACTCGCCCTTGCGCCATTCGTTGGATGGTAAGTTACCTTCTTTGACTACAACCATGTCACCGTTTTGAAGGTTTCTCGTTGGATGTTGCCATTTGTTTCTTTTCTGCAGTTCCTTGAAGTATTCCTCTTTCCAACGGAAATAGAACTGCAGATTAAGGGCCTTGAGACGTTGCCAGCTGTTCAGGAAGGACGCTGCACTCTCCTTAGGCTCCGAAATCGAGACAAGAGGACCGCCGACGAGGAAATGGCCTGGACTAAGGGCTAGTAGGTCAGCCGAGTTCTCTGATAATGGCGAGATTAACCTCGAGTTGAGGCATGCCTCTATTTTTGATAAGAGCGTGGATAACTATTGAAACGTGTATTTGAAGGAGGAAGTGGCCTTGTAAAAGAGAGTCTTGAAGCTCTTTACTCCTGCTTCCATAAGCTATCCATGTGGGGGGCGATTGGAGGGTTGGAGCGCCAGGACAAGTTTTGATGGCTGTAGATTGAAATTACACGCGACTTCTATAAAGTCACGCGATAGGCATTTGGAAGCTCCAACGAACGTTTTGCCGTTGTCGGAATACATTTGTGCGGGGCACCCCCGTCGAGAAACAAATCGAGCAAAAGCGGCCAGGAATTGTTCGGTCGTCAGGTCCGAAATGGCTTCTAAATGTATGGCTCGTGTGCTGAAGCATACAAAGACGCATACATAGCCCTTGGTTATTAGGCATGCTCGACCTGTGTAGGTTTGCGTAAACGGACGGGTGAACGTGGATCGTTCTACTGGCAAATCACCCATGAGTTGGGTTTGCAACTTCTTGCGATAGACTACACATACTCGACAGGAATTTATTGTGACCTTAACTAGATTCCTGAGTTTGGGAATCCAGAACTTGCTCCAGATCATGCGCATCATTATCTGGTTTCCACCATGGAGAGAGATGCAATGCGTGAAACGAAGGAGGAGACCTGTGAGGGACTTTCCATAAGGAAGAAGGATTGGATGTCTTTCGTCGTAGCGCAAAGACACAAAAGCTCTCACACGCCCGCATAAGGTAAATGATGGGGCTTGAGCTTGAAATAAGTTGTTGTCGAGTAAACACTAATACTCTTTGTGGTACTCAATGCTTTCAGGATGTACAACTAGCCGTTCTTGAGCTTTGGATAGCTCAGTACTGCTAAGGTCCTTTGCAAATTGAATTTCAGGTTTCTGAAAGCGCCTTATAATACGGTACATATAGGCTACGACTTAAAGTGCTTTGCCAAATTCGGAGAAGCGATCTACAATGTGAGGCTTTGGAGGCAACTTTGCCAAGCTGCATTTCACGGGACGTAGCTCTTCATCAGTTTCATGGACTCATTCAATAGGAGTTGGCCATTGAGATTGTGGCGATTGTAGCCATTCTGGTCCATGCCACCACAGATTATTGGCCACGAGTTCGCATATTGGAACATCTCGGCTAGCCAAATCAGCGGGGTCATCGTTCAGACTTTTGCTGTTTGAGGAAGGGCTGGAGGCGTTAAACACAACGCGAATCTTTGCGGTGGTGCTGTCTGGTTTGAAGACAGCGTGATGAGGGAGATAGAAGTTATTGGAGTCGTTGCTAGAAGGGACTTGTTTCATATGATCCAAGTCCAGGTAATCCTTGATCATGGAGTCTAACTGCTCTGTTAGAGGAGTGTTCGTTTCTCAGATACTGAGCAAGTGCGATGGACCTTGAATGTCCCAAGTTGATGTGATCAGGATTCGTGAAAGGCAACGTAACTATGTATATGCCAGTCTCATCCCTTTTGGTGGTGCGAGTAAAGTTACTTTCGCATATGGAGTCTGACTCTTTTGCCAGTTTGGCTGGCAGATCTTCCACCTCCCAGAAATTTGTGAGAAGATCGTCTAAAAGTGGTTCGGGGCTGACTGAAATCCTTGTGGAAAAGGACGAAATTCTCGCGGCATTCGATTTAACTGGTCTTCATGCCCAGTAGCGAACCGCATATGTTGGATTGCGTACCACCGAATAGGATTGGCGGGATAATGTCTGCCCCTAGCAGTACGTCCATCTGCGAGCTCGTGTGGAATGAGGGATCAGCCAATTGAATATTTGGTAGGGACCTCAGAATGCTGTGTGGAAGTGGATGCGAGGGCAAATTGCCAACCAAATTGGCCAAAAGCAGAGCAGCCAATCTTGAAGTGACATAACTTCTGTGAATTGGCTAAGATGGCCTGAGTTAAGCCGGTCTGGAAAGGAACCTTGATTACAAGTCGTTCGGATGAACGTCGCTTCTGATCCCGAATCGATAAGTGCACGTGCTGTGTAACAAGTGCCCAAATAACAACTGTTGATAACATCTGTGCCTAGGAGCACACCTTGTGTGTTTGGGGCAAAGTTGCTCTGCACATTGGAGAGGGAAGTGTTACAGAGGGGGCTGGAGGAAAGCTGCCACGATGCAGGAGGATGATGTGGCGACCCTTGCACGGAAAACAATTATGTTGCAATCTTTTGATTGATTCCCTCTCGCGAAACAGTGTAGGCAGAGTTTTTGCTGTTTGATGAAGTCAGACCTGTCACCAACAGACATCTGCAGAAAACGGGGGCACAAGCGCACTGAATGGTTCTCCTTTGAGCAAAGTTTGCAAGATTGAGCCTTAACGCTCACCTTGGCTTCAGAGGAGTTAATTTTTTTGTCGAATGCTCCTTTCGAGCGGGTCTGGAGTGGACCTGTGTACTTGTGCTTGGCCTCATTCCCTCTACAGCCTCTAAAATGCGATAGCGTTCCAATAAGAAAGAATTTAGGTCGATCAGCATCGGGATGTCAACCTTGTTGTGCAACGAGTGTTCCCACAGCGAAAGTGTAAGCTTGGGTAGCTTGGGGGCGCATAGGTAAACTACAAGGCAATCCCAGTTCACAGTACTTTTGCGGGAGTGCTCTAGAGATGTCAAGCAGCCTTGGTGCTCTGTAGGTCTTTAATAGCAGCTCCTGATTCCTGCGAAACTGGCTGGAGATTAAGAACACGTGAAGTTGGCTGTTAACTAACAGCCCCTTGTTTTCACATCTGTCAGTTAAGTCGCTCCCCGCAGATGCGAAACCATCATTTATGAGAGGAGACTTGGACACGATTGCATTTGCTTACCCTCCTGTCTTTGAGTTGAGGTGAAATAGTTTTTCGACCTCAATTAAACGCGGATTGGTTATATAGACAGCTGTGAAAAGGTCTCGGAAAGTGGGCCATTTTAAATACTCCCCATAAAAAATGTCAATCAACGAATTCATTGCCGTGACTGACAGACTCAGTCAGTTCGAGGCAAGAATTAGCTCGTCTCCGAATCTTGTCTTGTCGCTCCACACTCTTAAAGTCCGTTTAGACCAAGTTCGTGCCCTTTGGGGTAAGGTCGAGCAAGATTCTGAGCGCTGTTCCAAAATTCTCAGCCAAGACGAGTCGAATGTGCAAGATATGCAAGCCATGCAAGCTAAATATGACCACTGCTACTAGTTTTCTTTGCAAACGATGGCAAATCAAATGTAACTGCTCCAGTATCGCCCTGCTCACTGCTGCATTGCTCACAACAGCACATCCCTCTTCTGGACCACTTGTCCAGTGCTCGGAATATACAGAAGATATCCTTTTGAATTTATCGCATATCCGACCATTCGGTATTCATGTCCCTTTGCACTGAATTTGCTTAGCCGCTTACCCTTTTCCAAAGACACTGCAATGGAACCAAAAACTTTAATATGACAAATTGAAGGTTTTTTACAATTCCATGGGCGTCATATTTGTTATCGCACTCGTGGGTGTTCGGTTGCGCAAATAAACTGCTGTAGATATAGATAAGCTATATGTAGATATATACTAGCAGGCATTGTGACATTTCAAGCCAGGTACGGTTTGCCTTCTCATCGACGCCGTTCTGCTCTGGCGTATATGGTAATTGATGACCGTGCTATACCGTTAGCTTTGAGATACTCGTCGAATGTTTTGTTTGTGTATTCGCGTTGTCGCTGCGAATGCACTACTTGACATGTGTCTGCGAATTAATTTTCACGTGAGAATTTCTCTAGCTCGATAACTGAAATATAATTTTTTCACTACGCGTTCTTTTAATGCGCTTCCTAATCATGTGCCTGGGCCCATAACCTATTGAGGGGAGGCATCCCAATCAACGCACAGAAAAAGGATGGAGTAGATAAAAAGACGTATGTATGTTCTGTTTCGTAGTTTATTTGCAAGACAACAAGATAATCATAAAGCTTCTGCTATTAGCAGCTGTATTCAGATATTGATTTCAGATCGATATTGCATTGCACCACTAACAAAAGAACATGTAGATGGGACATGCCGTACAAGAAATGTGGGCACAAAAAAAAAGTAAGATATACATATGATGTGTTTTATTCGCTCACACAGGAAACTGCATCGGCTTACTCTCTTCCATATGATTTGTGCGATTGAACGGCATCGCAGTTTATTTTTATCTCGCTCGCACTTACTCTCAGTGCTCTCAATGCTCTCTTTATGACTAGGTACCGCTTAAATGTTTGTGTGTTATGTGTCCGCACAAGCAAAATTGCCTGTTGAATCCGGAATCTGTTCGGAATTTGTTGGAGGAAAGTAAAGTATAGAATAGATGATGAATAAAGTGAATGGTATTGTGTACAAAAGTAGTAAGTAATCCGAACAACGAGCATATTAAGGAAGCATAAACAAGGTGGAGCGAATTAACCGTGCGCTTACGCCTATGCTTATTGTCCTTTATTTAATCA